CAAATTCCGATTAAAAATAAGGAAGTTAGGATTTTTGAAGTTGTGATCAATCAAACACAAATTGGCAACTCTATGACGTATCATGCGAGCTCAACTTCCATTTGCTCAGTACTAAAAAAATCTAAAATTTTCATTTACCCTTAAGAAAAATTTCAACCATACATGCACCCTAAATATAATAATTGCAAATATGTTTCTATACTCCCCCTGCAAGGAACAAATATATATTCCGTCATCAATAACGAAGAAAACATGATTTTATGGAATATTATGCACAAAGCAAATGAAGGAGAGCTCGTATAATAAGTCACAGAGTTGCCAATTTGTATTTGATTGATCACAACTTCAATAATTCATAACTTTCTTATTTTCATTCAGAATTTGCTCAAACTTTCACTCACCTGATTTTCTTATTATTCTGCCTCTATCGAAACAAACTTATTTTGGGGGTGGACTTTCCCTTTAACCTCGGATGGCTAAAAAGCTACCCCCAGCGTCAAGGTTTGCAAGCTTGAGTCTCCTCCTTGTAGAAAGTCACGTAGCACTTCTGTTGTCCATTGTGAAATGAGCTCTTTAGTAACATCTACGTCATCTTCTGATTCATTGGTCATCGTGTTCGATGATGCTGCAACTGATAAATAAAAGGAGAAAGGCATGTCAATTGTCAAATTTAAGTTTGTGACCACAAGAATAATTGTAACAAAAGAATCCTTATCACTTCTTTAACACAAGTTCATGTAGACCCATGTAGATGCTCAAGTTGAGGTCATCGATATCAGACTATTATATCCAGCAGGGGCGTACGCAGGATTTTTTCAAGGGGGGTTTTAAACAAAATAAAGGGGGGTTTTAGGGGGGTTTTCTTAAAAATACACACGTAAAAAATGCCAAAGGGGGGTTTAACCCCCAAAACACCCCCCCCCCCCCTGCGTACGCGCCTGATATCCAGATCCAGATCGACAAATCTATCGTTTTTATGGCCTCTTTTTTACTTTTTTTTACATTTAGGGCCTAGAGTCTAGACTAATTCATTTGCCATCACCATCACTATCTAACTGTCGGCCATTCTAGTAGATCCTATTCCAATATCAATTATGTATAGTTTATAGGATCTAGACCTATTCATATTTCCTGAGACATAAGTCTCATTTTACTGTAAATTTGGTTAACTTCTACCTAAAACACAAGGCAATCAGTCTACTTAAAATGCACACACATTTAAACATACGGGACTAGATCTAGAGGTCTAGGCCTACATTTACTAAAGCTTGACCCGGCCCACTCTCATGCATTACGTCGTATTATCAGCTTTATTCGTCATAAAAATGAATAAACACAAACTTTGGTTTCTTACCGTACAAACGATACTGGAGTGAAAGAAAATCACTGCAGAATAGCGGATTATGTACAAGATTAAGATGTTGCTTCGATAAGAATCCCGTTGTTTGCAACGGGACAGCTGATCACGGCGAAGGTAAAAATGTACTAGAATTATGTCCCGGCATGCTTTGCGATGAAACAACCGTGAAGACACGGATAATTAACTGGCGGCCGCCAGATAATTAACTGGCGGCCGCCAGATAAATAACTGGCGGCCGCCAGATAATTAACTGGCGGCCGCCAGATAATTAACTGGCGGCCGCCAGATAATTAACTGGCGGCCGCCAGATAAATAACTGGCGGCCGCCAGATAATTAACTGGCGGCCGCCAGATAATTAACTGGCGGCCGCCAGATAATTAACTGGCGGCCGCCAGATAATTAACTGGCGGCCGCCAGATAATTATCTGGCGGCCGCCAGATAATTATCCGTGTCTTCACGGTTGTTTCATCGCAAAGCATGCCGGGACATAATTCTAGTACATTTTTTTTCCAATCGTAAATATCTTGATAATCAGACAGGCGATTGGATTGTAAAAGTCATTGAGTTCTTGACTGACCTAAAATTATCATTGCAGCATGAGCTAAATCCAGGATTTTGTTTCAGAATCTGAGATAAAGTTACCGGATCCCTTTAAATGCGTTTGCATTAAAGGTGGTACCCCCCCCCCCAACTCAGTGTTATTTAGGGTAAGCACATGCGTGTTCCCAGCACCCCCCCTTTTTTTTAGCATAAGTCCCCTGTGTTAAGTCAATACGGGCAGATCTTTTTCATTGCAAAACTCCAGAGAATCCAAAACTCTGCTGCCAGGCTCTGTTCACTTTGATGTACATGTACGGTATATGTATTGTAATTTGTAGGTTTATTCACACTTTTTTTGTTTTGTTTAATATGTAATTGTTTATCAGTCTATTTTTGTTTGTTATAGCGCTTAGAGATTTTGGTGGTAAGAGCTTTAAAAGTAGCGGTTTTTTTATATTTTAATTTTTTAAATTTTGTTACGAGCCAGAGAATTTGGGAACACGCATGCGGTACCTCCGTTCCCGGAGTGGTGGGGGGGGGGGGGGGGGGTGGTACTACTTCTTCATAGGATGTCAACTTATATGCATTGCATTAAACCTGTTGATATTGATCTCATGGTTATATTTATTTTATAAATAAAATCAAACAACACAGCGAGGGTTGTAGATGACTACTAAGCAATCATTACTGTATGTAGGACACTGAGTTGAAGTTATTCATGATTTATTCAAGAGAGGAAGGTCAGACAGACCTGATGTTTAAAATATTTAACAAGAGAAACATAGAAACAGAGAGAGGCATTGAGAGAGATGTCGACACTTAATGAAAGAGAAAGAGTGATAATAAGGAGAGAGAGAGGGGGAGAGAAAAGAGAGAGAGAGAGAGAGAGAGAGAGAGAGAGAGACGGAGAGGGGTGGGAGAGATAGACAGGGAGAGCAAGAATTAGGTGTGAAGAGGAAGATCAAGAGAATGAAAGATTGAATTTTACAAATGTACATGTTTCCATGTACCTTTTCTTAATTTATATTATAATGTGAACGATATAGTGATGGTCTTTGCTTAATTTTAGTTTGCATTCTTTCCTCTCGCCTTGTATTCTAATTTATTATTTTAATTTAGTAAATGTTTGTATAAATATAATTTTGATTTCTATCTCTTCCCCTATGTCATAGCCTTGTTCTTGCTCTCCCTTCCTCATGTTAGTCTATCTCTCTTTCTCTCTGTAATGATAACCCCTCTATCAATCTTTTCTTCATCAACTCTTGATATATTCCTCCTCTTCTCCTTCTCGTTCATCATCACGATCATCATCATCATCTCAAAACTGTATTAATCAATCTACATGTATAAGACTCCTGAGATTGATCAATACAGTTCTTATAATATATGACCATTATGTACAAACAGTAAGAACAATTATTCCAACTTGATGGGCAACAACGTAATCTCCATTTTCTCCTCCTCATTCAAATGTTGGCTTCTTTTTCAATTTTCATTCTTTACTCGTGTTACTTCTCTTTCTCTCTGACTACAGTGTATACTCACAAGAAAGTAGAATCAATGGTTTGACATGAACCAGTCTAGAAAATGAACTAAATTTATTCAAGTATCAAATACATTTTGAATTTCAGACAGCTTTCTCCCAGGAGATGAAACAAATGTCTCCCTAACCAGAAACTGACAAAATAACTAAATGCCTTCCCCTCTTTGTAGTCTCTCATTATTCTTCCCTCTAGTGATGGAGGGTCCTTATCCAGTAGCACACAAATGTCTCTATACATAGTAGACGGCCATCTCTACATGCCTTTCTTCCCCCCCCCCCCCCCCCCATCCATCCATCGTCCAGTTCCTCTCTACCTCTCTACCTCGAATGGCTGAACAGTACCCCCAGCGTCAGGGCAGAGAACACCCATAAAATAATGACTTCTCCAAGCTTGAGTCCCCTCCTTGTAGAAAGTCACGTATCACTTCTGTTGTCCATTGTGAAATGAGCTCTCTCGTAGCATCTACGTCATCTTCTGATTCATCGGCCATATAGTGTTTGATGATGCTGCAACTGATAAATAAAAGGAAAAAGACAATCAAATTTAAGTTTGTATTGTAACCTGAAGAATAACGGTAACAAAAGAACCCTTATCACACTAGATCATGGGGAAATATTTTTGTGCTAAAGGGTGGCCCCAAAAGGGTGACCCCAAAAAGGTGACCTTACCATCAACTGAACAAAATATCGGTCTGCCAAATTCATATTTTCGGGAAAAAATAGATGCTCTAACCGACCCCCCCCCCTCTCATTCTCCGGCTGGCTGAGTCGATGTGAAATTTTCGGCACGATTTTCAAATTTTAACCCCCCCCCCCCCCTCGAAAAATTCCTTCATACGCCCCTGTCATGTAGATCCTCAAGTAGAGCTCATCAATACATAGACTATTATATTCAGATCAAGATAGACACAAGGCAATCAGTCTACTTAAAATGCACACACATTTAAACATACGGGACTAGATCTAGAGGTCTAGGCCTACATTTACTAAAGCTTGACCCGGCCCACTCTCATGCATTACGTCGTATTATCAGCTTTATTCGTCATAAAAATGAATAAACACAAACTTTGGTTTCTTACCGTACAAACGATACTGGAGTGAAAGAAAATCACTGCAGAATAGCGGATTATGTACAAGATTAAGATGTTGCTTCGATAAGAATCCCGTTGTTTGCAACGGGACAGCTGATCACGGCGAAGGTAAAAATGTACTAGAATTATGTCCCGGCATGCTTTGCGATGAAACAACCGTGAAGACACGGATAATTATCTGGCGGCCGCCAGATAATTATCTGGCGGCCGCCAGATAATTAACTGGCGGCCGCCAGATAATTAACTGGCGGCCGCCAGATAATTAAGTGGCGGCCGCCAGTTAATTATCTGGCGGCCGCCAGATAATTTCTCTTAAATTTATTTCGTAGGTGGCACTAATGGGCTTCCGTAGCCAACAAACTAGGCATTCCTGTAGTATTTTGGTAAGTCGAGAGAAAGGGGGGGGGGGGGGCGGTTGTCAGGAAGAATGCAATACCAGAACACAATGACACGACTCGAGGTTGTAGGATATGAGCGGGATTTTATTTCCCACTTGAGCTATCTGCATAAAGTGTGATACAAGAAGAAAAACCTCTGCAAAGGCAGAAAAGAAACAACGAAAGAAAGAACATCAGTAACTACATGTTCAAAATCTCTTCATGCAACAATTTAGAGTCAACAATAATGTACATCACTTTAACACCAAGTCAATGATACTTCAATATTCATCGAGTGAGTAATTCAATGTAAAAGAAGAAAATGTATTTCTTATCATTCCAAAATATTCCCTCTAACTATTTGGTGTGAAATATGACGAACTAATTTCTTCACTGAAAGTATGAATACAGGTCACCAAAATATGAAAGCATCAACTCTATTAAAGATTAACATCAGAATAATCCCCTGAAATATGCATAGTCATGGATATTCATTCTAATTAATGTCTAATTAATGTACATTGACTGCCTATCTACAATTCGTTATAACACATCATTATCAACACCTGAAACAGAAGTAATATAACAAGCAGTGTTCGTGTTCAAAACTATCTATCACGCTCTACCATCCTGACTCACCCAACTAGGACTGCTAAACAACTACTTGTTGCTACGACGACAACAATGGAACCAGCTTCTTCAACTCAAACGCTGGAATCTAGAACAAAGACAATATCACTACTTGCCATGAATAACCAGTCAACTATATATCATCAAATTGTTATCATCAAAACATTATAATGCGATAATGTAATCATAACAATTTAAATCCTATTTATGAACGTAAAAATGCATCAAGTATATCAATACACAGATGAATAATGTGGTATCTATACTCTACTAAAATTGTCACTGTTCATTATCAAATAACTGAACCAATTAAATCAAAGACTCAAACCAATGAAATAAAAGAATCAAACGTTAAGTAAAATGACAATATTACTTCAACTTCAGACATTGAGTATTAAAGAATCTAGATTAAGAGATACAGAAATGTAAACAAATGCTTCAATTTGTCATACCTCCAACAAGCATCAGAACTATTTCTCAATCAGAAACGTGGTCAATCAGCGACACCTCGACAACTGTTGAACCTCTAGCTCCATCCACGAAAGGAACTCCTATCAATTAAATGAATAATACACCAACTCCTAATAAACTCTACTCTCTAATAATAGTATGATATAATTTATATCAAGCACCAACACCAATCTACTGAAATAAGTAGACTCCTATTTTTAACTAACTGCACCATAAACCCTTCCCATGGAGGCTGCCATCTTATTTGTTTACAATGGAGTACCCCCTCTTATTTGAGAATATTGCTTACACAGCACAACACAGTCTTAACTGACTTTTACCCAAACATTTCTATCTAATCAAATCCCTCCAAACTTCACTCAGTGCACTATACTCAAGCTACAGTATTCAATACCATAACTAAATAACACTTAGCTATACAAGTACATTAAATGTGTATTTACACTCATCAACATTATAATAAACATAAGATTCTCTGCCTTACATCGTTTACAAAGCCACTACAACGAGATGACGCATGGTCATTCATGCACAACGAACTACACGTGTGTACATTGTGTATCATGTACTAGGCCATACACTGTATGTGCTCATGACCTCTAACCAGTGATGCGATCCCTTCACTATTAATACTTCATTTTCCTTCATTCTTTCTACTCAATATCAATAATAACATGACTATAGTCCTTATTCTACACTATAACAAAAATCAATTAACATACCTCGACAGAAACATGAAATATTCTGAATACTCTACTGCGAAACTCTGATTGCCAATCAGCTCTCCTCACTGAGTTGGTTGAACAATGCACTAAACTTTCTGTAGACACAAGAAAGTTCTTCCCAAACTGCCTAATCACTCTCTTAATATCCTTCCGCCTAAATCAATTATTTAGTCTTTCTGCAACCTAATATGTCTAAACAAAGATATGTTTAACAAACCATACTATCAATAACCTACACTTCCATAAACAATCCAGATTCAGGATAATTACAACTCTCTCAATTTGAACTATTTAGTATGTGAGTTCTGAATATGTGTAATGAGGCAAAGTACACAGGCCCCTCTCTGTCTACTCTAAGGTGGCCTTAAAGATAACAAATCAAGTTTTTCTCACTATACCACATTCCTAATGGAAAATTCAGAGAACTGCAGGAATCCGCTATTCGTAGCGTTATTGAAGCCGGCAGGGATATTTTTGTTGCATTACCTACTGGTTTTGGAAAGAGTGCAATATACCAAGCAATCCCCTTGTGCTGTGATTTTCTACGCGACCACGGATTCTATGATCATGATGACTCGTTGCGGTTTCTTATATCTGTTTAGTCGAACGTAACATAGGTGTACCTTATTTGGTAGGGCTGTTGAATGATTCATAGATCCGCCATTTTGAATATATATGAATATTGATTAGCTAGACCAGTGATTATAGGCGGTAAGCCGCTTCGCGGCTCACGGTTCGTAGTCTCGCCGTATCAGACGTTCTGCTTAAGGTTAGTCTAGCAGCAAAGAAAAAAGCTCGGCACTCCGCATAGATTATAGGCTAACAGTTACAAGGTCACGTGACTTTTGTCTTTGCATGTCAGCCCGAAAATCGCTCATTTTCGTGATTTGTGTACAAAACGTAAGGAAAAGTCATTTTTCCTAAAAATAGATCAAACATGGGTGATTAGGTCTTGTTTAAAGTTTAGGTAATCGTTTGGGAGTCCAAATAGTTTAATTGTAGTTAGAAATGAAATAAAACAACTAAAACAATAAAATACATAAGTTAAAAAAACAATGAAATACATAAGAAATTATCAAAACAAGAGATAACATAAGGAATAAGCTGGCTCTTCCAATTTTTGTTGTCGTATTATTATTCTAAATGGTCTAATGAATATATATAGTGAAAAAGAATGCTTAAATATGAATAATATATGATTTATGGGTAACAATAATTATCATAGTATTCTATACACTTCACTTGACATCTTGAGATCGGCCGCTTCACGACCGAGATCTTATGGGAGGGGGGGGGGGGGGCATAATCCCCCGGCCGTACTAAGACTTCAAATAGCCTGGCCATTTTAGGGTTAAGATATGTCAATGTTTGTGAAATGTATTGTGGTTCGTTATTTTTGCATTTAATATGAATGAAAGAAACGATTCAATCACTCATTTGCAGATCTAGAGATAACACTACTGATGTATACCTACTCAATATAATGGACACAGTATGACATATCAAACGGAACTCAGCAAGAAGGATGGTGTTATTTCAGTCAGTGTCTAATACCATGCGGTCGCCATGAAAATCATTGGAGACATACTAAAGAAAGACAAGCGATTGACCCGGGGGGGGGGGGGCACCCCATATTAATTAAGTAACGCACCATGTTTCCTATCAAGAAGGCACCCCTTTTCATCATTGTCACTGAAGGCCCTTGTTCTTAAAAACCCACCTGATGACTATTTTTTTTTAGCTTTCTCCCTGTCACCTGATGACCTTGATTCCCCGGACGTATCTTCTGTCACCCAGCCCTCTTCCCCTAGTCAGTGATATTTTTTGAAAGCACGTTTCCTCTTTTTGAAAGCACCCCCCCCCCCCGATTTCCAGTGTGAAAGTCAAAGGCGGGCCGGATTTTGTCGCGTACCCCTTTACCGGAGATTTAAGGAACACGCTTGCGGTCCCTCCGACCCAGTAGTGTGCGTGTGTGTGTGTGTGTGTGTGGGGGGGGGTTGCTATCACACAAACACCGCTATTTTTTTGTTTTTGTATACACATTTACTTGTTTCGGCAATTTCCGTTAGAAATGTTGCCAAAATATGCCGTTTATGGGTTGAGAAAGTCTGTCCCCAAACTCCCCTCCCCTGCTTTAGGCATTTTTTTTATTATCCAAAGCCCCCCCCCCCCTTTATTTCGAGGTGCCTGGTGGAGCTTACTACCATAAAAACTGAAATGTATTTCAAGCTGGGGTAATCGGCAAACGATTAAAAAAAATTAAAAAAATTCCCCCAAAAAGATTCCAAAATTTGATAGAAAACAGATACCTTATTGCGTTGGACTGGCTGTCACAAAACAGTCTGTTTAAATATTTCACAGGCCTTCCTCTGCTTTAAAATGCACGCAGTGATAACAAAATGTTTCCATTCAGGCAGCCAAGACCCGTTTTTGTAAAGTCATATATCAGCAACCCAATAGCCTACGAAGGCGGTTTTTCATCATGCTGCGCTCAGTGGCGGATCCCCCCCCCCCCCCACACTGAGCGACTTTTCGACCGGCGCGATTTTCAAATTTTCGGGAGCAAAACAAAAAAAAGAAGAAAGTTGGGCCCCCTCCCCTTAGAAAGCCTGGATCCGCGCCTGATTGTATGTGCCACGTTCATACGTTATCTTGTTTACCAAGATCCGTTTCATTTTGATAATTGGTTTGATTATAACAATTCTAACAGTTTCTTATACAATTTAAAACTTGGGTGGAGTACAGTAGTGTAGATAAAATGCCTTGCTCAAGGGAAAAAATGCCTTACCGGGGCTAGAACCAAATAACTTTGCATTTCCAGTGAAGCGATTAAAGTCTCGACTACGATATCTCTACTTAATTTCACTTGATTTATTGATATATTGATTCTCGTTAATGTAACATTAATATCATGATTATACACACTGAAAACAAAACTTGGGTTTAAAGATAATGCCGAGTTCTGATCATGAAATATCACTGCTAAAAAAGAAGGATCCAGAAATTAGTGCAGATTATCGATAGTAAAGTTCAAACGAACACTGAATATAAATACGGTTAATCAACCATTAACATTTCAACAATCTGACTAAATCGTGCTGTAGTGGACGCGGAAAACGGTATAGTGGGACCGAAAAGTAGAATGCGGTTCTCAGGTATTTTACCTGTAATAAAGGTGACAGCACATGCATTGTAAGAGCAATCCTTTTCATTGGCATTCATGTTCTATGATGTTCGTCCATCTGTTTACCAAAGCTCACTTCTCTTTAACATTGTGCTGTACAGTAGAGATATCGCATACAATGCTTGCAATCATAAACAGTGATAACATAAAGAAAAATCAGGAAAAAATGACATTAAAAAAGATACCTTGCTTTATCAGGGAAAGAACAGAAAGGAATTGGAGATAACAACTCCACTTTTAACAAATAAGAGAAAATAATAAGCATTTACAATTTAAGATTGAAAACGGGTTTATATGACTCGTTTCATTTCTGGAGATTCCATCAAAAAGGTCACCAATGTCGGCCGGAAGGCAGTATACTATGTACTTGTAATTCCGGTGTCCGTCTGCCTCAATCATCACCCAGTAATGAGTTATTGCCTAAATATTGTTGGTGTATAGTGAGGCAACCAAACGAGAGGGGCACTGGAACTATACGTGAGGAGAGGGGGAGGGGGGGGGGGGGAGGGGTGGTGACATCGGTCTTACTCGGAAAAATTAAATGTGAATTTACAGGGCTATAGATTATTTTTAGGGTGTGGGAGGTGCTCTAGGTGTCTTATCTTCTCGTCTCCTCCTTAATTCACTCTTCTCTTTACCCGCTTTCTTTTTTTCACCACCGAATCGGTGGTGTGGGGGAGGGAACGACGTGCCCCCCCCCGTGCCCTCCTTCGGCTGCGACGATGCGTCGTGCACAGCAGTTGTCAATTAAAGTGTAATGACAAACACTCAAGGGTCGTTTACATATCAGGAGATGAGGTGATAAACTGCTTTGTGTGTGTGTGATTATTTTTTAAACTGAATGGCAAGCGTTTGGGCATGTTTGTTGTGTGTGTGTGTCGTGTGCAGGATAGGGGGGGGGGGGGGTAATATTGTGCTTGGTTGGATGGGGTTATCTGTTTCATGTGTTTTATTCATCAATCGTACAATCTATGTATTGATAATGTATTGAATTATATCAAGATGAAAAACAACTGTATTTCTAAGTAAAATTCGTATCGTTTTGGAATCAATAAAAAATAAACTATTTGACAAAATTAGGTGAAAAAGAAGTTAGCAACGTGGCGCACGCCAACATAGTCGTACGCGTACTCACTTATCCGTATGTTAAGAGATGCTGAAATGTGAGGGCGTAATACACTCACATTTGCCGTGGCGGCTCACGTGGCATATGTTAACGAGGTTTGGATTTAAAACCGTTTTGATTGGCTAATTGCTGGAGGTCACGTGAACGAAGCAAAGTGGCAGAAAAGCCACTTTCACTCGTCTCCCAATTCAAGAGCTTCAGTTTCGAATTTGATGTCACTCACTTCGGAGCTGTCGTTCTCTTCGTCCGGTTTGATTTCAAGTTGCTCGTCAGTTTTATCGCACGGATCATATATACTTTTTCATCGCTTCTGCGAACTGGGAGAGACATCCAGAAATTCAGCGTCTCGCAGCACATATCTTTAGCGAGAAAGCAGTCTACTTCCGAGGAGAAATTAAAAGAACAATTCGCATATCACTCAAGCTTACGAAGGAGACACACCATTTAATCAACCCTTGTTTCGTTTTCGAGGATTCGTGTAGTGTTGCTTCAATAATAATGCTTTTTAATGTTCATGTGTAGTGTTGTGAGCACATTAGAAATGTATTGATATTCCGCTGGTCTTTTATTCGTTTCTGCTTCTGATATTTTTCATGTTTGATTCAATCGGACACTTACTCGTTTTTGCGTTTTTTTGTTCTAATCGGAAAAATTGACGAGAGAAGACATTGTTTGATTACGCTGCTGCAATAATAATGCTTTTAATGTTCATGTGTAGTGTTGTGAACACATAAGCAATTTATTGATATTCCACTCACTGGTCTTTTGTTCGTTTCTGCTTCTGATATTCTTCATGTTTGATTCAATCGGACACTGACTCGTCTTTTGCGTTTTTCGTTCCGATCGGAAAAATTGACAAGAACAGATAACGTTTGATTACCCTGCTGCAGTATTTATGCATGTTTTTTTCTGACTGAAGCTTATCGTTACTGAATAGAATCTTCTAGGAACACATCATTATATAAATTGAATTGTGGAATATTTATAGTTTTACATGAGCTGATATGGAGAATCAACGTGGACAGAGTCTTGGTGATGTAATAACTCTTGGATTATTTCTGAGTGTGGTAAGTACTCGAGATTTTGTTTCATGTT